CTAACTGTGTGCTTCAAAAATTTCTGAAAACTGTTCCAGACACATGTACAACTTGGACTCCTTGTCATTTTGCAGTTCCTATCAGAGGACCTGAATTTTGGGGAATAATTAATGAAGATACTACTAAAAAAGAGAGAAATGTCACCTTACTTTGGAAGGTATTCTTGCTTTTTATGTTATCCTTTCAACTCACTTTTCTACTCTTACAAGATTTCATCGCTATAATCCTTTCATTATTAATCTCCAGAAGACTCTGTGATCTCAATTTAATTTTGCTTTTGAGATGTGATTGCAGTGAGCTGAGTGATATCATGGATGGGGCACTGAAATGGAGTTAGTAGACTTTAATTCTGTTCTCAGCTTTAACATATTCTTCTTGTGTCAGTACTCTTTTGGCAAAGTACTTAAACCCCCTGGACCTTGGTTTCCTCATCAGGATAAATGTGGGATTAGACCAAATGATCTCTAATGTTCCTTTGAATCCAAAAATTCTGTTCATATTTAATCCTAAACAAAGTAAATGTAGCCTTCCCCACATAGATCAAGGACATCTAAAATATAAGAAATTATTCTATTTGTGTAATGGCATAAATAAGCATGTAATATTCAGAAATTTCAGCCTAAAGTTTTCAAATTGATCTGAATGGATTGATTTCCATCCCAAGTGAATAGATTATTTGGTCAGTAGATACAAAATTTAAGATTGATTTGGAATGAAACACATGAAATAAAATAATGTTTTTTTGTTGTTTTTGTTGTGATGTGTTATTGAGTCAATTTGAACTCCTGGTAACCCTATGTGACAGAGTAGAACTGTCCCAGAGGGTATTCTATGCTGTAACATTTATGGGAACAGATTGCCATATCTTTCTCCTGCTGAGCCTCTGGATCAGTTCAAAATGCCTACTTGTAGGTTATTGACCAAGTACTTAGTCACTGTACCACCAGGGCTGCTTATCGTACCACCAGGGCTCCTCAATTATGTCTATGTCATACCAGACATGAACTATAAGCATATCCATGTATCTTACTTTCAACCTACCCAGAATATTCCAAGCCCTACATGGATGTATGGATGTGTGTGTCTGTGTGTGTATGCATATATGTATATATGTATATGTATGTATATGTGTGTGTGTGTGTATATATATATATATATATACACACACACATATACATACATACATACATATATATACATCATATGTATATATACATCATATATATACATATATATAATATATATTTATATATATACAAACATGTGTGTGTGTGTGTGTGTGTGTGTATTGTTGTTGTTGTAATGTGCCGTCGAGTAGGCCCTGACTCATAGTGACCCCTCTTCGGGTTTCTGAGGCACTATCAATATGGAAGTAGATTGCCCAATCTTCCTTCCAAGGAGCAGCTGGTCAGATTGAACCGCCAATCTTCTGGTTAACACTCAAATGCCTTAGGCACTACACCAGTTTATTTTTCCTTGCTATTTCTGGCATACAGGCAACTCAATGGGAAAAATAAATGTGAGAAGCACTGTTGTAGTCTATTGTATAGAGTCAAGCTTTTTATGTGTTTACAAAGGATTGGTAGAATGTAATCTTACCACCAACAGGTGAAGGTGATGGGGGAAGTAGGTATATTGTTATACCCTGAAGAATAAAATAAAATAGAACTCACTGCCAACAAGTCAATATGACTCATAGTGATCCCTCCTTGAGTTTCCGAGATGGTATCTCTACGGAAGTAGATTGCCCTGTCTTTCCTTCTGAAGAGTGAATAGAAGAATATGATTGGACTAGTTAAGTATTTTATTTTGGACCTTTTCATGACCTGATTATGCCATTTTTTTTTAACTACAGGACAGAAATTCTGGGGTTCCACATACACTGTTCTTATATATAAGCAGCCTCTTACTTCAAGTGACAGCCTATCACTTCAGGGGCAGGAAAAGGAAAGACAAATCTTACAGGGATTAAGATAAATGATGGTTAACATCTCAGCTTTTCTGCTGTCATTATAGAATCAAAGGATTACCCCTTGTTGGTTTTTTAAATGAGGAAACTCGACTTCTGTCCATCTTTCTTTTCTCTAGAATTACAGTGAAAACTCTTGGTAGGAAAGAGTCCTAATTGTAACCTTACTTCTTTACCTTCAAGTGATTTATTCTGTGAGGTTTAAGAAATCCACCAAAAGAAGGAGAATAAGTTTCCTATGCTCCAGAGGCATTCTGTAACCTTCATAGAAGCTGTTGTCAGAGAGCTAGCCCCATTCTCTCACCCCTCCCCTACTGCTCTCTCATTCCCCTCTGCCATCCCACAGCCTTGAAATAGGCTGTGCCTGCTCTAGTCTGATCCTTGCCTACTAATGGCAAATGTATAATAAGAGTTCCATGAGTGCCATTGCTCAGTTCCTTGAGCTCAGATGCTATAAAAAGCACTGTAGCCCTTAAACGGATCACTTTTTATGTTTACTGCAGCCTCTGACGAAAAATGAATCACTGTGCAGCGTGAGAAGATATGTGGTGAAACATCATACTTCCCTCAATGGAACGTGGTCAGAAGATATGGGAAGTCACACTAAATCAACTTTCTTATGGACAGAGCAAGCACATACTGTTATAATTCTGGCTGTAAATTCAATTGGTGCTTCTTT